ACCCCTCCCCACCCCTGGCCCCCGTGCCCTCACGCCTCCCCTTCTCTCCCTGCAGAGTTCATCACCACCGTGACCACCCCGGAGAGCGCTGCTGAGACAAAGAAGGCAAAAAGGGTAAGAGAAGGCAGGAGAGAGCCCACTGACCTGGGAGGCACCATCGCAGCTCTCCAGCCTCTGCCAAGGGAGCTGTCTTCTCCCAGGGGCCTTATTTATACCCAGGTGCTCTCCACCTTCCCAGGATCTGGCCACCTGCTGCAGATCAGCCTCTATGGGGGACCTTAACCCTTTCCTGATGCCACATTTTAGCAGAGACAATAATAGCAGTTGTCTTCCTTCGGACAGTCAGCCCCAGGTAGCATCAGGAAGGTTTGGGTTGGGTTGTTACCATAAATACAAAACACTGGGATAAGCAGGTAGCCAGAACCCAGAGCACATCCCACCTCCCAGCCTTCCCCCCACAATGTGGGTGGTGGTGCAGGGGGCAGAGGTGGGCAGGGAGGTCTCTGCTGTTGCAAGGGCTGTGACTTTATTCTGTGGCCACAGCAAGCCCCTGTCTTCCCCTTGGGTAGGATCATGATCAAGAGGCACCACTTCTCAGCAACTGAAGGTGCCAGATGGAAGCCCTTCTTTTTAGAAGTCCCTAACTAGAGCTGATATGTAGGGGCTGTAAGTGCCAGGAGCTGAATTGGAGCAGAAGAGGAAACTACCAGGAAACCAGTGAAACCTGGTGGCTTTAGGATGGGAGATCTGGGTGCCAACACACAGGGACAGGCACACCACAGAGTCCCAAACCTGCAGACACTTGGGGTCCTCCTGAGGCCGAGCAAAGGCATCATACTCCCCCACCTCCATCAGCATGACCTGCCAGCCTTTCCCACTCACCCAGCCTGCCCGTATCCTCCCCAGAAGCTCACAGCCCACAGAACTCTGCCCTGCCACGGGCTGCTGTCTGTCCCCAACCATTTAACCCTGTCCTCGTGTCCTTCCCTTCCCCAGAGCTCCAAGGAGGATGCTGACCTCGCCTACTCCACCTTCCTCCTCACCTCCGGCAGCACCACCCAGGGTGGCCCCGGGGGGGACGGTGCTGCCCCAGACGTGTCCCCCCCAGCCTGGGAGGGTCAGATCTGAACTGAGGGACCAAGAGATGGCAGCAACCGGGACCAGCTCTCCCCTGAGGGCCAAAGCAACACCTCAGCAATGTTCATTGCTACCACAATTTGCTATAGCTTGAGCTTTTTTTGCTTCTATTCAGCTTTGAGCAGCGATTTCGGAGGAATGGTTTGATGCCAAATGGGGTGGCTGGGCTGGAGGCACAGGTCTGAGCGAGCAGGTCAGACTGGGGAAGGATCTCAGGTGGCTTAGCCCACCAACAGCCCCAGCCCTACCAGTGCCCTTCCAACACTCTGAGCTCCCACAGGCCAGGAGTGCACCTTAAAAAAAATCTCATTTTCTTTTAAAGGCAGCTGGAAAACCCTCTAGAAAGACACCTCATGCTTTTGCTTCCTCTACGCTTCCTCATCCAGCAGGCAGTGCCTGCAGGCCAGACAAGGTCTGAAGTATTTTTGTGCACAAGCAATAAAGAAATCCTTTGGCTTTCTGCAGAGCAGGGGCACTCACAGTCCGTGGGAGGGCACAGGGAGCGAGGTGCAGGGAGGATGCACTGGGGGGTGGGGGCTTTCTCCTCCTTTTCCTGCAGCATTACAGCATCACATCAGGTGTTGCAAACAGCACTGGGCAGGAGAAACTCACAACTGATGGAGATAAATGGGAAAGGTCTTGAATAAAGCTTTCACACACGCGTTCTCATCAGCTGCAGGAACTGATCACAGCGTGGCATTAATTAGTATGACAACCTATTAGCAGCCTGTGGAGGTGATTAGGCAACAGGCAGAGGTGTTCACTGTCACTGTATCCATTTTCATGGGACAGACCAAATTCCCCAGAGCAGCTGAACCAACAGTCTCCCCTTTCCACCCTGGATTTGGAGTGACTGAGCCAAATCCTCTGCCATGGAGCCACCCCGTTGAGGGTGGGCTTGAAAACCCCCCTTTGCTTTATAAACCTCACCCACACTTCTCTCACACGTTTTCCCTGGCTGAGTTAATGTTTACCCAGGCAGAAATGAGGATGACTGTAATTAAATGTTGTCTCTTGGTCTTATTTTCAAGAGTGGGTGACTAAACAGAGAAAAGCCATTTATTGCTGCATGGATTTCTGAACAGGAGCATGACACAGCTGGCTGCCAGGGAGGTGAGGGCACAGAAAGCTGAAAATCCCACAGATAAAGCAATGTATGAAGAAGTTGTGATAAAGCAGAGAAGTCATTTTCACCAGGAATGGGATGTGCTGGTGCCTGCCTGGCAAAAAGAGAGGTCGTGGAACTGTCTGGCAGAGCCAGAGCTGTTTGGAGACAAGTTCGAGTTCCTGAGCCTGTGTTGGTTACTTGCAGCTCTGCTGGCAAGCCATAAAATATAAGGAATGAAGAACCTGGCTAGGGGCTGACCCGACAGTGTTACAGCAACACCAGAAATATACTGATTTAGTGAAATATTAGCTACACTTTAAAATGTAAACAGTTTAGTAGCTCAGCAAGGTGCCAGGCAATGGCTGTTTGCATTAGCTGACAGACACCGAGTTTTCACCAAGGGTAAACCCCAAATTACTCCTGACTCGTGGACCTCCTCATGCTCAGCACGGAGATGAGCTTGGCTCCCTGGGAGTAAGGGCAGCAGCTCCAGTGGGATTTGTGTGTCCTCCCCCAGCCCTGAGTTTTTGTTCTCAGGGCTGCTCACACCCCCACGCTGCAACAGCCTTCACCTTACTGGCAGCAAGGCTGGGACCTCCAGTGGCAGGCTAGAGCTCATCCACCCCAACTCCCAGGCTGCATCCCCTTGGCAGCATGGTGGGAAGGGGCTTGGATACAGGGAAAGGTGTGGAGGGGCCAGGACAAGTCAGCACCCGCCAGGCGTTCCTGGAAGTCACTGAATGACTCTGGTGCAACAGGCAAGGCGTGTGCTTGGAAAGCATCCCCAGGGTGAGCAGCAATAAAGCTGCAGGAGAACGCCAGGATTTCCAGGTTTGGAAATTTCTGAGAAGAGAAAACCCCTTTTGCTCTCCCTTTGCAAATCCTCTTCCTCCTCAGCCCGCCCGCTGGCATCCCTGACTCAGCTCCGTGCTGGGAGCAGGGGATGAGCCAGACTGCAGGAGGGGAGCAGGGCTGGGAGCTGTGGGGGGCTGAGCTCCCTGCCCTGCTCTGCAGTGGGTGGGAAAAGGTGAACTTACTTTGACAGAAAAGCAATAAAACCCTCATGGATTGTGGCGTGCAAGCCTCTGCTCAGGATACAAAATTAATCAAATCTGATAACTACTGACTGTGACAGCATTAGCTGAGGATGTGGAACAAAACCCACACTTCTCACTCAAGCTGTGATCCAGAGCCCACCCTGATCGATGGAAGGGCACACAGGGACCTCACCATGCAGCCCCATCTCCTTCACCAGCCTGTCTGCCAACCGTGCCAACCGATTTCCTTCAGCCCACGATGAGCTGTGCTATCCCACTGCCTCACCACTTCGTTCCTAATGGCTTTGCTTTGAGAGAAAATCGTGATATGTGATAGCTGATACTCTTAAATGGTTGATTTCAAGGGTGATGGTGTTGAAGATAGGTTTTCATGAACAGTGACAGAGCATGGAGGAAGGTATTCACCCGTTGATGCCTTGGCACCAGGCCAAATGAAAGTCACGCTGTAAAAGCTCATGAGAAAGCAAATTAAAAGAATCAAAGTTCCAAGAGGGTTTCCTTTGACATAAGCAATTATTTGGGGAAGGTTTGTGAGCAATCCAGGAGATCTTTCCTTTACAAGTGAACCACCAAATCCCACTGTGTGACACCCATGTGTATATGCTATAGGCAAATGCTGGTGAGCTCCCCCAGGGAGGGCATCAGCCAGGCCCTAGGGGAAAGGACAAGGAGCCTCCTCCTCCTCTGCAGCTCTTCATTCTGCTGGTGCCCAGTGAAAGGTGCTGCACCCACCAGACTGATGCTCTGTGTGCTGCCAGAGGTCTTGACCAGGGTCCTCCTGTGATGGTGATGAAACCAAAGCACTAATTAATTTCTCTTTGAGGACACAAGGACCTTATTCCATAATAACAAAATCCTGTTAAGGAGCCTCTTTTGTGGCTAAAGCCTTCCCTGTGTAACCTCTGTAGCATCATTAGAAACTGCCCAGGTTGGGAAGTGCCAGCCCTCCATCCATCCCTGCCAAGCTATCCATCCATCCACCCATCCAGACCAAAATGCTACCAGGGACATAAATGTCTGACTGCTCTGGCTTGTGCTAATGAGCAGCATTATTTGGGTCCTGACACCAGGAGTCCATAAAATCCCCTGGCTGTGTGGAGAGATGACTTGGGTGCCCTTTGTTCAACTACTAACACTTTAAGTGACATGTGTACTAACTCCTTGTGGGAAAACACAGTGGAAAAGGGATTTAGAGCATGAAGACCATTGGGTACCAGCAGTGTGTAGTCACCAGCAGCTAAAAGAGCCCAAAATAGGTGAAAATAAACCAAAGTTATGCATAATGCACAATAAAAATAGTCTCAGGGACCAGCTGGGGTGATTTTGAATCACTCAGGTCCACCCTTCGGTCTTGCTGACATGCCAGGAACGATGCATCACCTCTGGGATGCTCTCATCAGAGTGACAGCATCTGCCATGAAAGGGCACCCCAGTGAATTTGGAAAGTTTCACCAACAAGAAACATAATTCTTCAGAATTTTGACGAGCAGATTCAGCACAGTTTCAAGTGGGATTTATTTACAGTAATTGCGACAGATTTCCACAAAACTTACTACTCAGTAAATTACACAACACACACGAGAACCTCTTTCTGTTCAGCGACCGCTTATCTTGAGTAGGAATTTTCCTTTACTAACAGCATCTTATCAAGGGAGAAAATATTATCTCAAAGGGAAACACAGACTTCTGAGGCCTGACACACCTGCTAGGACCTGTTCTTGGAAGCATTTCACACACTGTGCACCTTGGTTCAGCCAGATCAATTGGGGGCAGCAGTTGCTGAAGACTGAGCCCAGATTTACGAGCGCTGCTCTGCAGCATTAACTACTCCAGGGTTGTTCCCGCACTCATTCCCTACACAAAAAAATTGTAATTTAAACAATACTTTTCATAAATGATCACACCTTATGTCAGCTAGCCAGAAAAAGCCTCTCTGATTTCCCCTTAGAGAGCATCCTTTGGCAGAATCCAGCAAAGCAAGCGCTGATTTGGTCCAGGTCAGTATTTCCACCTCACCACAAGACTCGCCCGTGGCCCTGGCTAGTGAAACACGAGGTGTTTGAGCACGGCTGCAGCTTGTGAGAAGCTGCACTGATACAGCAGCGTCCTCCCCTTCCCCCAGGCATGTGCAATGTCCCAGCAGCTTCACTAGCCCCGGCCGTTGGTGGGTCATTAACATCTTCTGCTCTCTAAGGAGCCTTCTCCATCCAGTCTAGCAGGATGTCCAGCTCACCCAGGGATTTGATTGCTGCCGATGTCACATTCAGCTGAAATGATGTAAAGGAACTAATTGTGAGCAAACAGAGAGAGTAGAACCCCGTGTAAAGAGAATCTGAATAGCTGTGTTAATTACTAGACTTAATCATCAACTTACCCCCTCGTAGTTCACAAGTACCTGCTTCAATTTCTCAGTGGACTCCTGTCCACACGTGCACTGATTTAGCTCGTGCTAGAAAAATAAGTTAGAGTTCATTAGTATGAGGGGTTCATTTTTAAAAAGAAAAGATCACTTGCCAGTTATGCTGGAAATGACTGTGCAGGCTGAGACCTTGTCAAGCTCTGGAAAAGGCTGCAGGTCCTTAATCAGACTTCAGCTAAGAGCAGAGGGACCTCAACAGACAGAGGGACAGGATAAATATTGTTCTTGCACTCTTCACCTCGCTTCTTTGTATCCTTGCCACGACTATTTTATAAACAAAGATTCTGTAACTTTACAAAACACTGAGGTTTATTTAGCTCCAGACTTACACACTGCCTGAGCTTCCTCCTCATGCTAAGGAAAGAGTTGGCGATGCTGCTGATCTTTCGGTTCACGTACGAATCCTCGGTCCTGCAGTGTTTGAAAACCTTGTCCACGTAGAAGTTGAAGAGGTGATGGGTGATGCAGCATCTGTCTGAAGACTTAAGGGGGAAAAAATGTCTTTTTTGAAAGGTTTTTCAAAGTGCTTTCAAGCTGTAGTCAACAACCCCCCTGTAGAACCAACTGTCTCACGCCCGGTAGCTGAGCACAGCAGGATGCTTTGCCTCATGTAAAGCTTTTTCAGTGATGCTTGCTGTAAATTGATAACATATATATAGGTAATTATTTTAGATTTTCCAGCTGATCCATCCTCAGCAAGTCTCACTGAGCCAACAAAATAAAAAGCTGATTTTGTAACTGGGCTTTAGAGGCTGAGACCTGAAGTAGTTGCCCATGATCTAGTGCCCTTCAGTGTAACAGAGCTGCAAAATACTTAAAATTCACCTGCTTTTGGATTCGTTTACAGCTTTCCACCCAAATCCTGATTCACTGCCCTGTGCCTGCACTGGCTGAGGTGGTGGGGAGCCACAGCTAAGGCTCCTCTGACGGGTGCCTGATGCAACAACAACAACCTCTCTCTGCCCATCATTTCTGGGAAGAGAGTCAAGGTGAAAGCCAGCTGCAGGAACCGGCAGTGGGACACCCACCTCTTCTCACATACGTGATCCACATCACTTTATCCTCCCTGACCTGTGCTGCCTGCCAGCGTCCGTGTTCTGCAGGGACTTAGACGTCACGGCATCGAAGAGTTTCCACGGACGCCCTGGGCTGGCACCCCTCATGATGGGCATTAGGATGCCCACCAGTTAAAATTATTTAGACAGAAACTGGAGACACAGAAAGGGTGCTCACCTTAACCTTGTGCAGAGAATGTGGGTGAGACAAGATGCTGAGGGTTCTGATGGGGTCTCTGGCTTGCTGCGTGGGAGAAGATGAAGACAGAGGTGGTGATGGACATGCTGGCTCCAGAGGGGCTTCAGGAGCTCTTGACTAACGAGCTTCCCTAGCTCCACAAGAGCCCTGGGCAACACTTACAATGTTGGCTTTAATTGCATTGAAACCAGACCTAATCTCAGTCATGCTCATGGACACCCTGCAGGGTCCAAAGTGGAAGATTTTATTCTCAGCTGTCGGCATCAAATTCAAGCAGCAGGCCATGAAGAAGAGGCAGAGGAACAAGGGGGAACCCTTCATGTTGCCACAGGATGCAAGCAAAGCTAGCTGCCTGGAGACCTGCTCAAGGAAGACACCATTACCTCGTTATCTTTCCTGAATAACACAGTTGTGATGCTTAGGAAAATATATTTACTTCAGATAGTGCTTGTACACATACACTAAAACACTCACACTGACCAATATTTTTTTTACTCCTCTTGTGCAAGAGCAAAAATCAATTAGAGCCAAATATTTAACAGATGATCCCAAAAGAAAAAAAAACATTCCAGTAAAAGATTGTATGTAAGTAGATAAAGTTCTTCAGTAAAATCTTCATCAGAAATAAATACAGATAAATTAAATTTTTTAAATCTACTGACTCCAAAGCAGCAGGAGGTGACTGCAGCTGAAAGCAGCAGACCCCAAAGTCTGATCACAAAAGGAGAAGCATTTCCTCAGAAACAACATACTTCACATGCCAGGTCTGTTAGCACTGAAAATTAAGATTATTTAAAAAAAACCCAACACCTTTGCAGAAACCCATTGTAAGAATACAAGGAAACATGCAGGAACACACGGGGCAGAGGGATTAAACCAATTCATTACCTGGTTCTTTGATGTGGGTTCACCAGTCTCGCTACCATCTGACCTGGAGAGCTCCGAAGAACATGTTTTTATCCAGGTATCGGGAGGAAATAACTCTTGGATTAACTTTTGGGATTTTTCTTGCTTTTCCCAGCATGTATTTTGTAATTTATTGCATTAATGAGCTAGTGAAAGGGACCAACTCACTCACCCAGAGGTGTTTCCCTAACCTACGGAGGCGGGAAATCTTGGCATCGCTGTATCAGTTTTCATTAGGGAATAAAAAAGGAGGGACCATCGTGGGGGTTACATCCCGAAGGTGCCAAGCTCAGGGGCTCCCCCAGCATGGAGCTGTGCTGCCAAGCCCCTCCTGGAAAGGGATCATTCCTGGCTCAGCACAGAGGCTTTGGGATGTGGGAAGCTGAGCAGCATCACCCCCTGGGACGCCAGCAGTCCGAACCCCCCAGGGCTCCTGGCAGTGGGACATGAAGTGCTAGTAAAAGTTGCATGACTCAGAAAGTTGGCAAGACCTTTCTCCTTCGTTGTCCTGGCACATGGGGTCTTCACCTGCCAGGTACAGGCAGCCCTGCTGGCAGATTGCTCCTCGGGTGGGTGGACACTTCTCTTCATCGGCACGTCCCTGGTATCTGGAGAGCGGAGATGTGCAGGACAAGAGGGCTGGGGGCTGACACAGCTCCCACCACAGAGCCAGGGGAACCCGCCTGGTTTTCAGGAGCACAGATGACTCAGGTGATCATTATGCACTGGCCAGAGCTATCACCCTGCAGAAGGACAGAAATCTCACTCAAACCTTTGAAATTCTACCAGCCCAGCAGCAGCAGGGGAGTTTTACCTGCCAGCAAAATTTTGTCAGCAAAACACAATTCCCCTGCTTCAGGCAGTAGCTGCTGAGCAAAACTGATACAGCCAAGGTCCTCAGGCAGACCAGGCATGTTCTCATGCTGCTCCAGATCCAGACTGTCCCCAGGGAAGCAGGGTCACTGGCTGTTCCACACGAATGTGGCAGTACCAGAGCACCACGCTGTTGGCTCTGAGGCCAGTTGGGTCATTTCTATAACCCCTCTCAAGGCATTTGAGTTCAGTCTACTAAGATGAGCAGTTAAAAAACCTTCTTGAGTTACCTATACCCAGGAGGGAAGTTCAGATGGACTGGGATCTTCAGATTTAGAGGGCACCAAGGTGGCAAAGACAACCTCTGGAGCAGCCGTGGTGCTCTGGTCAGAGCAATGCAGGTGCCTCCTGTGTGCCACTGCCTGGGCTGTCCTGTAGAGTTTTGCTGGGTGAGTATTTTATTGATAACCAAGCTCAATCTTGAGCGTGTGTCCATCATCAGGGGAAGACCAGGCAAAGAGATTTTACACCAGGCTAGTCGCAGTGTTGCATACGGTGTTGCTGAAGCTACACCAAGCACACCAAAGGTCCCTGTCACCCGGTGCCAACAGGCAGGTGCCAGTCTCTGCCCTCCTCCCCCAGGTCCCAGCTGCTCTCTGCTTGGAGCCAAGGCAGTGGCACCAGCAGCGTTCCCAGGCAGCCCGGTGCACACCCAGCCTCGGTGAGGAAATGGGGGGAAAGCTCTTACTTAATTATGTAAATAATTTATGCAAAAACACAATAAAATAAATTATGTAAATTGCAGAGGAGAAGAAGGGATTTCCTTTTATTTTTTTTCTCTCCTTCCTTTTGGTAACTGAACTGACACCCAAGGCAGGGCAGCCAAATGCCAGCAGGGCAGAGCCATGGGCTGAAATCTGTGAGCCAGGCTGGTGGGGGGAAGATGCTGGGGTGGTACTGGAAGAGGAGTGACATCTTATATCGTTGGGGTCCAGGGCCTTGCTCCATCCCAGACCTCTGCACAGTCCTGGGCGGGCACCCCGTGGCCTCTTCATCCATCACGCAAGGGCAAGGAACACAATAACCACATCAGAGTGGGGAGACAATCTGGATAATTTCTCTTTTTCTTGTTTTTAAGACAACTGATTATACCCCACGTGCTGGAGCTGAGCGAGGTCTGAAGCACTCTCTTTTCAGAGTGGATGGGATGGCATCAGCAGGGACCTTGGCGTGCATTGGACCAGGTCCCAACAGAAGCAAATCTCCCAGGCTTGGCTTTCCCCTGGCAGCCTGCCTAAGGGAGGCTCTCATCCACCTGCCACCTACAGCAACACGAAAACATCCTCAACATCCCAGCAAAGCCATCTCCTGTGGTCTGGGAAGGAAGAGGAAAAGGAGAAATTGGGATTTCTGAAACAAAGCAGCGTGACAATGCAGATGAGCTCAGGCAGTGAAATGGGAACCGACTCCCCCAGGCACTCCCAGAGCAATTAAAGTTTTCACATACTGGAGCACTGGGGAGCGTGTTGGGAGCTGGGAGGTGGTCCCCTCCCCAGGAACCCTTCCAGGCAACTCCCAGCAGACAGGGGAGGGTTCCTCCCTCCTCATTTTATGGTAGGCACGTTGTGAAAGGGCACACCAAGAGTAGTTATGATTCAAGTAACAAGTAAAGGCAGTCGAGAGGGTTGTTAGCCAGCTAAGGGATTAAAAATTAAGCCCCGTGTATCATTTATAAACGAGAAATCATTTACACAAGGTCCATGATGAGCAGCACGGCTCCTGCACGTCTCACATCTGCAGCAATGCCACTCGAAAAGGAGCCAGCCAAAGGGAAGGTCCCTGGTGCAGCCAGGAGAACAACCCTTGGAGCAGCCTCTTGGACCACGCTGGCTCTTGGCAGCTCCGACCGCTGCCAGGACCAGCGCTCAGCCTCATCCTGCCAAGCACCAGCACCACCCTGCAGAGCTGGCATCACCCCCATGGCAACGGAAACGTCACAGCAACGGCAGAAAACACCAGACTGCTGCAGACAAAAGGATTGTTGAAATGACTAAGGGAGCAGACGTTCCTGGAGAGCCCAGGAGCGTGACAGGAGATGAGACACCTACTCACCGACGGCCGCTTACGTTGGGGAAACTCAGCAACAGGTCCCAGCCCTGCTCCAGCACTGGGGAGCTGTGTCCTGCACACACCGTGTACCGCGAGCTGCCGCAGTCCTGCTCAGCATCACCCACTGCTGACCCAGCTTTATTCATTTCAAGCATCCAAAAGCTTTTGGTTTATCCTAAAAATAAATAAAAAAAAAAAACTCAAAGAAGAATGTGCTCCCATCTGAAGGAGCCAAGCTGTCAAGAACTGACCACAGGTACACGTTAACACCAAGTTTCCAGTAAAGCGTTTCAGAATGATAAGATCCTGGTTTCAATTGTGCATTTCAATATCACTTCATGATATAAGAAGATCTGATAATACTTTACGGACCATTCTTGGTTTGCCATTTATTATCATTATTCATATTTCACAGTAGCTTTGGGTGAAGCAGCATTTCAGATATGAGGCTTATAATGGTTTGTACACAGATGTCCAGAACCAGACAATGTGGATGACAGAAATGCCTCCAGTAATTTTAATCAAAGAAAAATCCAGACTTAATGACAAAGGCCAGCAGCAATATCTGAATCCAGGAACTCTTCCCGACACCCTTCAAGACAAGATCTGCAAAAATCAACTCAGCCACTTGAAACAAAAAAATGCTTGTAGGATTTTACAGCTCTCCTGTAGCTCACCAAAACCTCTGCCAAAGGAACGTAATTCTGATTCCACAGGCAGAAGAAAACGCTTCCACCTGGTTTTTATGCACTAGGGTAATTTCTTACATACTTGTAGTGATGTAAATCATCAGCCAGCCCAGTCCTAATCATAGCTGGGTGCTGGTGGGAAGATGGATTGCAGCAGCAGTGCTACCTGCAGCTCTGACTAGTTCCCAGTGCCTTAGAAACCAGAGATTTAATTACCAAGCAACCTCCTGGCCCTCCAACCCAGAGCCCATTTCAAATCTCGTTAGAACAAGCGCTAATCCTGCCGGTCCTGTTGGAAGGAGGGGTTGGACCCCAGCCCCCAGCTGGGTGTCACCCACCCACCCATCATCCCTTTCCATCAGCTGCAGCAGCTCTGCGGGAGGGAGACGTGCTCTGCGGCTGCCGCGCCGCTCCCGCCTTCTGAAAAATCTGGCTGCTCTTCTCCCTCTTAATTAGCGCGGTTCATTATGGGCAGAAACCACGGGCTGGGTGCTGCTGGGGCTCCCCAGCCCTGCCGCTGGCTCAGCCCAGCTCTGCTCTGCTGCTGACTGCAGTGAAAAATTGTTTTTCTCGGTAAACTCGGCAGATGACTCAGAAAAGACTCTGTCAGGCCCGATGGGCTGATAGGTGTGGTACGCTCTGTGCCCTCTTCTCGGTCACGTTTCTAACCATAACCACTTGAATCATTCTGAAAATCAAACACCCAGTACTGCCTTTTAGGGAGCAGCGGGCGAAGCGTGGCTCTGCTTCATGAAGTGCAACTTCTACTCAGCCAAGCTCTAGAGGCACCCGAAGCCAAGGGAG